GCGGTACGTTTAATTGGGTCACATCGGTGCGCACTTCACCGTTACTCTCTCTTTAATAATTCCTGGTCCCGCGCTCTAGAGAGTCGAGAGCAGGACCCGAAAACGTGTGGCTAACACGTGAGTGGGACCGCATAGGTGTGCGCGACCGCGGTTAGATGCATCCCGGACATATACACCGCGCGGGCGGGATGAAATCGCGGCGATTTATAACGCCGACACCGACGCCCTATCTTGCCGCGTCCAGCTCCCACGAGAGTGGGCTCTCCTCTCGACGATATAACGTCGGCTGGTATGCGTTTACACACCTCCACACCTCCACGCCAAGCGGTAGCAGCGAGAGAACATCTTCCTCACGCTTTCGTATTTCATCCCCTCGCGTAGGCTCGTGTTGGCGAAGCGTGTTTGAAGAAATCTTCGTTGGACGGCGACGTCACCCCCGGCCGTGGTTGCACTTTTGTCTCAAATTACACGGACGTAATTCCCCGCTTAGCCTCTTTCGTATGGACGAGAGAAATAATTGTAGTTTGAAACAATCGTAGACGTTTGAATCCTACAAATGGAATGTATAAGCGAGCACATCATTTTTCAGAATGGTTGACAGCGAATTTCCCTACGTGCGAATGTGAAAACATGGAATTTCTGAAATCCCCGTGTCGCATCCTCGTAGAGAGATGATAATCCGGTAACACAGTCTGTGACGGATTAAAGATAACGACCACACCTACCTCAACGCTCTGTGTAGAGAATGAAATTTCTACTTGCTTTGTATGTGTGAGCAATTTTAATTTTAAAAAAGGATTGGCTTAGTGTTACTTCTCGACTTGTAATTTCGCGCGTGTTAAAAGTGGCAGCGCGTAACACGTGGGCAAACATAGTTCGTCAAAATTTTTACGCAGCTAATAGAGTGAATTTTGTGTTCATCAAGCGCTAACCTTTATATCGCAAAAAGTAAATTTACAAACATTTGCGTATTAGCTACGTTTCATAACTTTAGACAACCGCGTTTTATAAAATTAATTGTCCTAGATATAAATTTTACACTGTTAATAAAACAAATTTGTGTTCATCAAGCGTTAACCCTCATATTGCTCAAAAAGTAAATTTACAAATGCTTGCGTACTTACGTTTCATAACTTTAGACGACTGCGTTTTATGAAATTAATCGCTCTAGATATAAATTTACTTTACAATATGCAAAGATTTTCGTGTCAAGTTATTATTCATGTATATTCATATTCACCTGCGTTAAAGCTTGCGCTCGATTAATGTACATGCAAATAATTATTGCGACATTTATGCGACGGATTTAAGTGTGCATTCAGAAAATAGAGAAAATGAAAAACTATTTCGTAATTTATAATCAATGAATACGGCGCATTATTACAATAGCATATTATAAAATGCACAGCAAGAAATTATTTTGTTACCTGCGCCATTTCTATTGCAAGTCATACATTCATCATGAATTCATTTTGCGATTTATCGGAAATTACTTTTCACGCGTGTTTGCGGTAGTTAATAATTTTCTTCAATTGCGATGCTGCTCCTTTTTACCGTTGTTTGTACGGAAGGGCAACGTTGCCGTCCCGCGCCGACTTTAAAACTTCGATATTGCATTTTGTGAGCAATATGCTTCTTTGTCGTCAATTCTTTAAGAACCGGAGGGATTCATAAATTTTGTTCCGCGCTGCCGAGGCTAGCGTCGCCTCGTAAAGTTGCATATTTTCCGCATCCATTGCTAAAACGCTCCGAGCGTACGGTGCGAAACGAACGGCCGATATCATCCGCTCGTATATAAAAATTTGCAAAGGCACATTAATCGTAATTCCATTACAATGTCGCCATACAATGCTTGTTATTATATTTCAAATAACTCGTTTTGCAGTGTCCAAAGCGCCGAAATCTTGTCATTTGCCGCAAAATGATGCAAAATAATTTTATAGCTCATTTATCATGCGCGTTATTATGTATGTATATTATATGGTACATGTCGCCCTTTAGAATTTCATTAATTGCATTGAATGCACATTTAGATATATTACAAATTGATGTACAATAATAAATTATAACTAGCTTATATAAAAGCTTTATTATATCTTTCATTCAATTTTATTTAATACCAACAGCCCGGTTATATGTTTCATTATCATTATAAATAATCGCACGAGTAACGTTATACGGGCGAGATAAAATATAAATCTCTGTTAATCCCGTTTTGAAACGATATGTGTCTAGGAAAATTAAAAATCCACTTTTATCCCTATTGCGGTGTTCATGCACGTAAAGAAGATACCACGAGATTGTCTAGCCCGTGTCTGTTGATGCACTAGACGCGAGCACGCAACACGCAGAGCTTGATTGGAAGTGTGGAGATAGACAGGCACGCGATTTCATTTTAAAGCTAGTTAGACGCCCGTTCATAATTATAGGTCGAAGCGAGATGACGTCGAATCGTCTATTCTCCGTTCTCGAGCGACCCGATAATCGCCGGCAAAATCGTTAAATAATCGTTTGCTCGAGAGATAGGTAAGAAATTGGGAGTAAATGTGGCACTTAATTTGCAAGATGCGACATCCAGAAAAGAGCTCTGGAACGTAACTCGGAGATAAACGTTGCCTCGGGCAAGACTCCCGACATTCTTTCGGTGCACATTCATCCTACCGAGCGTTCCATATAACTTCTCGCTGTGCGTTTGATTTGTATGGTGCTAAAAGCTACAGACACGCGCCGCGTGAAAAATGCATGAGAATCAAGTTGCGCGAGTGACGATATTGCGCATTGAATATATTTTTCCCTGGCGCTTCCAGATCGGTCCACGTGCTGGATGAGGTCCGGAAATCTGGAAGCACCATTGGCGCAAGCGGACGTGAAAAGTTACAAACGTTATCCACGTCGCGTGTTACTTGGAGACTTCACCCTGGGGTAAAGAGACTTATTTGATAAAAGTTGCAAAACGCGCCGCTCGGATAAGTCGGATGGTCGATTTTTTTCCTCCCGTGTCTTACGTTTATCCGATTCCCAAGTGTGTTCCTTGTGCAGGTCGGATTTATAAAGTTTTGGAATAGATTATATTTAATTATAAATTCAATTACAGCTCTTGGAAGCAAGAAAAAGACTTCTTTCGTATTCGTCGCAAACCTTGTATATGGATATCTAATTTCCGTAAGATTGGCTTTTGTATCTCATAGTACGGCTGCTGTAGTTAATAACAATTTAACAAATAACTATATGTCAATTCTTAATTGGTAATATGAGAAAAGTTACAATTGACGACGAGCAATCTCTCAGATTCAGTTGTTTCAGAAAGTTTTTTACCTGTAATATTAATTGCTCAAATTAATTATATGTGTACAGGTATATTTAATAATTTGACTGATGTTGAATAAGGCTGTCATTGCGGACGAATGTCGTCGCGCATTTACCTCGGTGGAATTCTCGACGGTACTTGCATAGCGTTCGCGGAAGATTTTCGAGTGTAGCGGCGCCGCTTTCGAGCGCGCCCTGCTTTCGAAAGGGAACGTGAAAAGTTACCCTCCAGAAGGGTATCCAGGAGACGAAGAATCTCGTGGATGTCGGCGGACCGCGCACGGATGAATAAAGTTCCTGGAGGTCCAACGGGGAGATCGATGGAGCCACGTCCAATCTGTCGGTGCCGTACACCCGAGCTACTTCCCGCGTATATTCCCGCACGTTACTCGCGGCAGGGTTGACGATAAGTTCCCGCCGGCTTCAATCTCCCGATGAGAGGCGGAGCGCGACCGTTCTGCCGTATACGCGCGGTACGATAAGTAACGGAACGTCGTTCCGGAAATGGGTCTTGCCCCGGCACGACGGGGTGCTTCAGCCTCGTCCCGGTTTTTGGTAGCGCTCGCGAGCCTCGTTAAATCTTGGTCGAGGTCGGACGAGGATAGCGGCGAACGTTGGAATTCAACTGTGTTATTTTTACAGTCGCTCGTCCTTTAATCGCTCGGCGTGAAAGCGGCCGTGCGGAACAGCGCACCGCTTTGTTACGAGCTGGTCGAAGCTGAACGTGGGCAAGGGCCGAGTCATACCTTCCTTTCATAAAACGTAAGCACTGCGCGCGCCTGATATTTCTCTCGAGAGCGAAACACTCAGCCTCAATGGTTTAACCGCGTGACGCTTTCCTTAGCCCTCGAAATTTTCAGACCTAATAAACTGAAGTTGTTTATGTTTGTTCTCGTTGCTCAATTAACTTATGCATAATCGAATTGTTTCTTGTAGTTATTCGATCACCGGAAATTGAGCGATATTTTTTATCAAAGCTTGATAAACCATGCTCTATATTTAGTGCTACGGTGAAAATTTAAGTGACTTCACGTATCTAGAAACGATTTTCATTCGAGAATTGTAGTAAAAGTCGGAAGTAGGGTGTAATGTTCGAGATATCCCCTTCGTTTTCCAATCAATGAAAATCTCACATATGTATTCTAGGTCGCGCTCGCAGTTGGAAATCGAGTGAGCTCCGAGTGAGAGAGAAAATGCCTCGTTCGAACGAGACACGCGATACAAACTACGGAAGAGACCAAGTCGTCAACGTCAGCTGTACGTGCGGAATTCTAATTCGTTATGCTCGATTTACAAAACTTCTCGCGCGATTTTGCGTCAACGATTCTACATTCCACTTTGTGCGCGGCGCGATGTGCATTCACTGTTCAAATCACGTTCGATACTTTTGCCGATTCAAATGAGTCACGTGAATTCTTTCGTTCGATCAAATGTCATGCAAAAGAGAACATATTTATGAGTCGCATGACAACGGTTTCGATACGTATAATCCGCGCGATGAAATTTGCGTGGAAAATGGAATTTTGAACAACTCTTGTGCAGCTTCAAGCTGCTTCCTGTTATTAGAACTATGCGGCTCTTTAAAGCAAATATTATTCAGAGAGTAATACTTACCTGAAAGACCACACGCGATTATCACCCAGGCTAAATTTCTAAAATTAACACCGTGAGGCATTACAATGAGACAAAGCCAGTTCTTGTAAAACGCATATCGTATATTACGTGATTTCGTTTTCCTCACGATAAAACGTTAGGTTCGGCTTAAATTTATATATTATAGCGCATAATCTCTCTCTCCCGCTCTTTCTCTCACGCGTACACACGTATTCTCTCATAGCATAGAGATTTGGTTGGCTGCATGAAAGACAAGCGTACCTTCATCACTGTACAACATACATTCGGATGATATCTTGACAAGCCGCGTTTTAAATTTTCTTGTATGAGATAATGTAATTATGGGACACGAATTAAATAACAAAACAATATAAAAGGTATTTGTTTTCACATGTGCAGCGAGCTGCAAAATACAGCATCTGAATGTATCTTGGCGAATTTATACAAACATTTATACAATACATTATCACCCTGTTGCAAACAACGGGCACCGATATTAGAAAGCGGACGATGTCCGCTTTTAATCATTCTCTCCCCTTAATAATTTTCATTTAACGTTGTCGTAGATTAACTTAATTTACAGTGCGTATAATATATATATATATATGTTTTCATATTATATTATTATCATAATTAACAGTGATAATTTATTATAATAATCAAAATAACGTCGAAATATTCAATAAATCTTATTAACGGGCGACAATCTCTGATGGATCAACAATCGACGTTGTACATTCGACGAGAAATTTGATGCCTTTTAATTACCAATAATAAAATAATATTATTGGATAAAACGATGGAAGCTCGTGATCCTGTTAATTGAAAAATTTTGCGAGTCCCGTGTGAATCCTCACACTCGTTCCGCGTTAAAAAACGCCCCGATGGATGCAGAGAATTTTGTAATATAATGGCGCGAATAGTGATGGATGGAGGCCGAATCGAACAGCGCAATTTGTCTCGATTATCACAGCCATAGTGATACGCGATAGCAGCCACTTCAATAGCTCGGTTAGCAGTTTGTGCCCCGAGCCTTTATTGTTTACCGGTTATTGGTTATTCGATACGCAGATTTATGATTTTACCGTAGCTTTGGTCATTTCTAGTTGCGAGAGCGACTGCGCTAGAATAACTTGGCGAGGTGCTAATATCGAGTGATCAAACGCGCGCCGAATAGCACGACCGATGTTAACGGCGTCATCGTTTCCCAATAAACCGAATAATTTGCTTCGCGTCTGGTAAGCAGCGTGTTATACTTGTAATTTAGTTTCTGGTACTGTGCTCGCGCACAGAAATCTTCAAACCTAATGGAATTTGTAGACGCGAAATTCAAATGAGCCGAGCTAAAAATGGAATAGGCACATTAGTGAACGACTTATCGTGAATAAATAATAATTAAATCTATAACACTCTTATAAACGAGTATGTTATAATAAACGAGACTTAAATCTAATTAATCATTATGATAACAATTGAATAAATAAAACAAATGTGCCAATACGGGCCCAATCTTTTTCGCCTGATATACTTTTCGCGTGAATTTATGTACAATGAGCAGTGTACCACCAGCTCTCGAATTAACAAGCTAGAGAGATGTCAAGAGATGTCAATACCAGCCGTTCACTGAAGCGTCTATCCTGCTTGAAAAATTTAAATTCCGTGTACAATTCGCACGAATGAAATTGCGCTGAGAATTGACGAAGGTATTATTTGGCGATACAGACACGCTTCGGCACGAATCTCACGAGTGCCGAGCGATCCATGTCGCGTTTAGAATAACGTCCCGAGACAACGGCAGCCAACCGCCTCTGTTTCGCCTACGTTCCTTATGTCAACGTAATATGTTATCGTAACACACTCCCTCTTTGGCCCTCGTGTCCACTCTCGTCACGATAATAGAAAAGTTCGCGCGATACACAGGTGATAGCGTTTCGTTCACCGTCGCGGAGCACTGTCCCTTTGTCACCGCCACGAAGTGCTCTCTTTCGCCAACCCGGGCGGCTCTCGTAATACCCGAGGAAGCTGGGTTGAGCCTTCATCTGAGCACCTGACCCGACCGGGCTAGAACGGCAGCCAGGAAGAATAGCGATGAGCTAGCGGCATCCGCTCGAGCGAGCCGTGCACCGCTATGATGTAGCTCGGCTAAACTTTCTCCTGAAACAGCGTCAAATACACTCACAAGGAAACGCCCGCAGATCCCACTCCGACGTCGATAATCTTCGGATACCTTGTAAACTAGTAGCGATCGAAACGAGAATCGTATCAAGCTTAATCAAATTTGAGAATCAACGGCAAATGTTTCCAAGTGTACACGTACAAAAAGTATTTTATCAGATGCACACAAAAGTAACACGTATGTATAAAACGTACAAAAATAAAGCGGTTGTTAGTGCGAGCTACTGTCAAACATGCTCGAGACTCATCAAAATTGATGGAAGGCAGCTGCGAAAACGTTTTCTTGCCAAATGGCGTGAGCTTCGAGTTTAGACGTTTCGTCGAACATCAGCTTATAACGAAAGCCCGAGCGACATGGTGCAAATAACAGGAAACACCCTGTACAATTTGGTTTCGATTGAGACGTGTCGAATCTGTATTAAGCTACGCGGAGGGTAATTGAAATGACATTTGCGTGAGTCATATTGTAATACGAGGTTCCCGAGGAACCGCAAATTCCCCGGCATTCGATTCCAGGTGAAGACGCAGACGTGATCGTGTATGTTGAAAGCTGCTTGGATTTATGAACGAATTATTTTTGCACGTCGCAGAAAGTGAGTCTCTTCGTCATCGACAAACGTGTCGAGCGAATTTCTCTGTTATCTTCGTGAAATGGAAATGTCGTGACTATGAGATACATATCTGCATTTCTAACATCTTGTTGGAACGAAAATAGGAAAGTCCGAAACTATTTTATTTAAGAAAAACGAATTTGCGAAATTACGAATTTACGAAAAGTTGTTCCATTTGTTATGACGAGTTTTAGTTTTGTAACGAGAATACCTGCAAGTAACGAAGATCACAAATTGCAAATAAAAATGGTACCTACTTGAGAAAAACGTAAGAAAATAGCTAATAATAAGTAACAAACGTATAATAAAAATATAGGACACTTTTACGAGAGCTTTCTATCGCCTACGGCATCACATGAAGAATATCATGAGAGTTTCGATAAAGATTAATCTGGAAACCATAATGCGTGAGTCGCAACATCAAAGCAATTGTGCGAAGTTTGTCTGTGTAGTTAGAAAATTCAACTTGCGTACTTAGTTTCGTCGCGAGTTCCCGCGCGAAAGCGTTTTAAGAAGATCCTTTATAACAAGTTCCGACATGCGAACTTTCTTGCGGGAGTCAAACACCAGAGGACTTTTAGGCGCATCCGTGAGCGCAGTTCAAGATAAATATTAAATGCTTCAAAAGCACGTACTTCGGTAATAAATAGCCGAGTCTAGTAGCTACTGTGCAGACAGAGAGTTATACATAAACGTTTCGGCTGTAGCTTTTGTAATAGAGCAAGCGCGAATACCGCACATTGGCGAATGTTGTGAATTCGTCAATTACTTAAGACTTGCGGCGCGATTCTCCCCTATAAACTGTTGCCAGTCTGTATCGTATCATGTTAACCAGCGATTCGTTTGAGACAAGTTTTCACAAGCAGAGGTTGTTTCAAAACCAGACAAAATTTTAACGGTAGATTTTTCGAAACAAATTTCAATTTCAAATTGAACGAAACGCGCATACGCACAGAAGGGTGGTACGGTATAGAATTCCTGTACTGTTTAGACATTGTTTAACCGTAGCGTCCGGATAGCGCCGTCAAAGAAACAAAAATAAACGTTCTAACCGTTTCAACGTAAACAAGTACGTTTAGTTACATACACTCTTACCTCTGGTACTGTCTTTATTCCGCGTTAGCGAAATGTGAAGTGTAGCTTACCGCGTAAATAAATTAACATTTCTACAGTCATTTTGAGGCATACGCTACTTTAGAAATAAACTTCACGGTAGTGCGAAGTACAGAAAGAAAGCTGCCAAATTAGCTAACACAAGTGAGTAAATTAGCAACTCAAAAGAACTAAAATAATAAAACGCATGATAAAGAAGACTGTTAAATTATAATCTAATTTTTGTTTCGTTGCGTTCACAGAATATCATGTGACAAGTAGTTTTACGTTAAGTTTCCAAGTCGAGCATTTGTTTTCCAATTATTGTTATAATAAATAAATATAAGTTAAATGGAAAGAATAACCACATTAGAGCAGTTTCGATACGCCCTGTATAAGCTAACCAACGAGATGACAGCATCGTTAATTTCGCATGCATAAAAGCGATTACATAAAGGAGCAATCGAGAAATATCGGAAATACAAAAATATCCTCACCGTTTAAAACGTGCACGTGAACTGTGGCGGGTTGGTCCGGCATGGTGGTAAGTTGGCAGGTGTAATTTCCGCTATCCGAAGGTCCGACCTTAGCTATGCTGAGAGTCGAATTGGCCCCCTCTTCCATCAGGTCCGTTTTCACGCTACAACAGGTGTACATACGTCGTTGAAATTTCAATGCCCCGCGAGTTTTCGTATTTCGTATCGCTCTTGACGACGAAGCTGAAAGTAATATGAATACATGTGTGTTCGACTTTTCTGTCGCGTGGCAATGCGTCATTAGAGTCTGCATATCCCAGATTCTTATCACGCAAGTCTGGTGTATCTACGATAATCACAGAAGGCGTCCGCCACAAAGCTGTTAAATGGCTAATGAGTAACGTCCGAGATTAAAAATGTGGTGCGCTTTTTTGGAAACATTCCTTAGAAACTCCTCGAGCGAAATTGCCAGCGCGAAGTCGCGAAATCGCACGCTGTAGCGCGAAAGAAGAGGGCATCTCCTAAGGTTAACGAGAACTCCTCAATTTTGCCAGTTCTACTGGCCTTGCATCTTACTTCTTTGTCCTGACTAATCGCCGATTCTCCATCACTCGAGTCGCTTTTCTTCTTTCCCGGCTTTTTTCTATCTCCGCTCTCACCGGCACACTCGCTCCCCATTCGCACGCTTTTATGCGAACTTTCTTACGCGGAAGGAGGTAAGTTAATTGCAAATCGAGCCAAAATTATCGGCTCCCGCGAGAACAGTTTGTACTCTGTGCAAACAATAGACCGAATAATAAGTTCCGCTGAATAAATATTTGCGCGGAGCTGGCGAACTACCTTGATAACACACTTCATATTGATCAACGATCTTTTTTTTTTTCTTTGCTGCGTCGAATTGCATATTTCAGTCTCGTACAAACAATTCGCGAATTTACTTTTATAGATGCGAGGAATATGTAGTAGCGTTATTATAATGTATTGTTGGAAACAAAAGGCACGAAATTCGAAACAATTTCCAAATACAGTAATTGATATTCTTCGCGATTATACAACTTCGTGTCGATGTAATTCCATTGAGCACTCCACATACATCTTGTCTTCATTTCGCATCGACGCTACGAAACGGCATTCATTATCCGTACATTGGATCTGCATAAATCATTGGATGCAGGAGTTTCCGTAATGAGGCCCGTCCTTGCCTCGAAATCGCATTTCAAGTTGAAAAGAAGGACGAAGAATGCAATAAGACAATGACTTCGTTAAAGTGCGCTAATTGCAGACAGAAATATACCCGGTTTCTCGAGGGAGAAAGGTTTCCGCGTGAAACTGCATGCAGCAGAGACGTCTTGCGGAAAATTGCTCCCGTACTTGACGTTCCTATTTTTGTGAGAAACTAGCGGAAAAAGGTGATTGTTCGAGCGAGCATTTTGTACGAGTACGGGGTACAAGTAGCGACTCGGAGCGTTTCAGAAGAGTGGCAAATATTGAGGGATGATGGCGCACTTTTTATCACGATTACGTTTTTATATTCTTTCGAAATATCAAAGCTGGACGTAACGATATTCGTTTAAATAAAAAAAAAAATTGTGAGACAGACGAAAGTTAAAAAAAAATACAATTATAAAAGTTATAACAATTTTGCTGACAATCCCACCGGCTCTGACGAGACGATCGCGTTGGGGCTGTGTTCAACATGACTTTCAGTTCGCGCTTTTAAAGGCTACTTGACAGCTAGAGCGGCAAACGTTTGCCCGGTAAATATTTCACAGCGGAAATTTTTAGCGTTTCCTTTTTGCGTTCTGTACGCGACAGACGTGACCGCACGGAACAAAAGCGTGCGCTTTTATGGCAATACCATCCCGGGCGTATTGTCGCCACGACATGTGTCCTACGGAGATAGTACAAGTCTTTTAAATGTTATTTGATAAGGAGAACTGTTTTCTCTTTTTACGTTTTCATGTAATAGTGCTGCTACGTTAAATCACCTAGAATTTATCGTGATTTTTTTTCCCGTGCGAGACCGATATTGTTTGCGACAATTCTGCTACAACTTTTGAGAGCTTGTAAACTAAAGCATTAAAGAAAGAAAAGGGACGAAGGACAAGAGGGGGGTAAAAGCTACCACAAAGAATCATTTAAACTGGCAATCTTGTCAAATGGATGCAATTAAGGATTCGATTCACGCTGCTGCAACTATTTTATTTAATTGGAATGCGACTGTTCAGGATTTTCCGTAGCAAAGCATCTCTCTCTCTCTCTCTCTCTCTCTCTCTCTCTCTCTCACACCCACAACTTCCTACAACGTGACTTCACGTGTTGCAATTGTTGTTCAATAGTCATTGTTCCTTCTACGCTCTACAATGGTTAGCGTGAAATTCTGGTACGGAAACAAAGCTTGCCCTTTTACAGTTGCTTCCGCAGTTTCGCTATCCTTCGCGGAGAAAACATCCTTATTTATGCTAGGTTGCGTGTCGCTGAAAGTGGAAACTTGACCGAGAAAGGTTTTGAATCGCGCCGAGCAAGCGAGACTTTAATCGAAAAAGTTCCTCCGTCGCAATTTGTCGCTTTCGTTACCCTCGGCCGGCTGAACACCGTCAGGCGATCGCTCGTTTATCCGCGACGTCGAGCGTCCGCCGCCCTGCATCGAGCAACGCGGGAGCTTTGTGAGAGGATTCTTACAATTAATTCGATACGGAAACGCAAAATGAAAATACAAAGTAGTTACCGGGAATCTTGGGATCTCAGCTTAAAAAATAGCATGGTCGAATCTAAAGTTAAATGTGGATATTTATGTCTTTAAATAGCTTTAAAGCTGTGCTTAGATGCTGCGCTTTTACCACGATTACGGTACTGAGTAATTTTTTTTTGGCTAATTCTACAACAGTAGTTTTAGGAGATTTACACCGCCTGGCGTTACTAATTATTGCATTTGCGAATAAAGGTAAGCTGCGTGCCGGCTTAAAGTAATGGGATTAATGTCACCGATGAAAATTTCTCTGTATGTATGACTCGCGTAATTTTAATGCAATGATAAATGGCAATTGGCCAAGTTGCGGAATACAATAATTACGGAACAATAATTACAGCATTCGGACTGTATCATGCATTAAGTTAAACATTATTTATATATTTATTTATTATAGAAGCCCATATTTCTTCATAATCGCTTTAAACTCTTATCCTTTGTTTTATCCCTCGTCAGCGAGCTTAATAAGCAAGCGTGAAATCCAAGGTTTTTTTTTCACATATGCAAACGCACAGATACTCTCACGGATATTCGGTTACTTTTTCGCGGTGCTTGGAAATTGACAATACGTAACACCGTGTAACGCAGCCGGCAACGTGATGATTAATTACGCAAGACATTACTTTGATCGATGAATTGATGCGGCTGTTAACCTCATATATAAGCGATTAGTTATTTCTTTATTTGCGGCGCAATCAGCCGAAACGCATTGGTACTGTATAATACTAGCAATTTATCATTCAACACGGTATCGACACGGCGGATGTTCTTTTTGCCGATGCGGCCTGGCACGTATTCGTTATGTAAAATCAGTTCAATAATAAATCTGTTAGTGTTCTCGTATGTGGCAACGATGGGAAACCGTGCAAAATGGAAATTACATGCTTAATATTAAAACAAATACTAATTATATCTCATTTTACATTTTTATGCAGATTAAATGTTAGTTGCATACAATGTACACAATGAAATATAAAATTTTCATGAAACCGCTACTCTTTTTTTACGCATTTATAATTAAATTAAAAAGCAGATATATGCACCGTAGTTTTTAAGATATATTACAGGAAAAGGGGTGTCCTCTCTTCACAAAAGTGATAGCGAAGTTACGTGTTTACTTAAAGAAAATGTTTAAGCACGAATTTTCGAATGAAAATCAACAACTTCCGTTTTTGTAATTTTAGATGCAATTCAAGTGGTGTTTTATATAGCACATTCTTTGTCTCCGACGCGTCCAGTGGTGCGTCAAGACTTGAATGCAACAATACACATATGTAGAGGAAAGTCCCCTATTATGAGATAGGCTCATAATATGAGGCAGCAGAGTTTCTGCTAAATTAATAGGCAGCATCTGCTGGTCCCACCATGAATGTATTGCCCTTGGAGTGAAATCTGTTTAGCGGAAAATTTCTACTATCTCATATTATAATCCTATCTCATAATAGAGAGCTTTCCTCTTTTAACATCAGTATCTTTCATTGATGATGTTCTTTATCCCTTCTTTTACTTTGACTTCATATAGCGTGCAAAAAAATCAGCGGACACTTGATGGATTACCGCGCTACCGCAGGCATTGACAAAATGTTAAAGCACGAGAGAGCTAATATGTTCAGGCGAGCAATGTGTCCTTTATCACGGTGCACGGTGCAGATTAGGCCAGGTTAAACCAACATTACAAATAAATTAAGATAGATCGTAAACATAACATTGATTCGACGGCGCGGAAAATTCGATTTAACGCCGGTCAACTACGGCCACGCTTTGTGCATTACTATCGTCGTCGTAACCGGAGGTTTAATTACAACCCCGAAAATTTAATGTAATTTGACACTGCGTAAAATGCTATTTTCCACCGTGCAGAGTTCCCCTTCCATTCGATGATCGTTACGCCGTCAAGGGTCCTACCGTAATTTAATGAATTAAACGCGATGTTAAGCGCTATAAATTCATTGTCACGTTACCTTTAGCCCGGATACCGTTCGCAAATAATTCGATTAACGATTAATTCGGATTTGTTATTATATCGCTACTTTAGCAACGTCCAAAAATGTATGCATGCATACACGCATACCTTTTAAGAAAACATCGGCCAATTGAACGAGAAATTTGCCGTGCTTCGCCTCCGTAAAGTGTACTAATTGGTTACGTTACATTATATAGATTTCAACAATTTGTAAACAGACCTAGGTACAGATTGGGAAAGAAAAGATTTTATATTTATACAGTGCCGTGGGAGCAAGATATAATCTAGGTTTTGCTGTTAAAGATAAGGGATTAATTTCTAGTTTGATAGAAAATAACATTTTCGACTTCTCTTTCTGTTTCTAATGAGTATTTCTTCCAGGGTGTCGACCATCGGTGTACCGGATCCAACAATATCTGAGAGCGCGAGATCATCTTAGCGACGCGTCGTTAAATTACAGAGGACAGAGAGGGCTAGATAGACATCGGGTGATTAATTAAACGAAAGGTTAAATTAAGCGAGAGAGCAATAATGCTTGCTTCCCCGCTGCAGACGCTGGCTGCATTGGGAAAACAAGTGCTATGGCACTGCAGCAGTTTCATGTGCAACGTGTTTTCGTGGGGAGGCGGGAGGGGTTTGTGGTTTTACGGGGAGTCCCACGTGAGAGCGAACGAGGAGAAAAAGCGGCAGAGGCAAAAAATAACATTTGAACACGATCGGCTCGGACATAGTCGAGCTTGACTCACGCGACAAACGTGACAAAATATTAACGATAGATAATAATATTTAAGAAATTATCGTAATAACGAGAAACATCACGGCTGATGCAGATAGAAACGAAGGGGGATGTAACAGCCGAGAGATAAAAATTCTCGAGACGATTCTAATTTCAACTACTTCTTATAGGATTTAGGGGGGCACTAATTAATATTTTAATGTATCACGGAGGGCAAAATATTTAGCGTCGGTATCGTACAGTTGCCGGGCAGATCGCAGAGGGACGCTATTCTGTTCTCGCTGCGGGATCCACGACCTGGCGTATATACAGTCGTCGTATGTACAGAAGCGCGCAACGCAAACTAATTTCATTTACTGTCCCGCCGTGTCTCACCGGCACCTAACTTTACTGCCAGGGCGGGCCCACGGAAGCGTCGGTCTCGACCAAGAACCGGCCCCCCAAACGCCGGAACCTTTCTCGTCGACACGCCGCCATCCTAACTCTCGCGGCTGCTGTCATCAACCACCACGTAGGTACTCCGTATGAGCACTCTACCGGCACGGGTATTTTCGGGTCCTTCGGGGATGTTCTTGTATCCTGGCCCGAGAAATCGCGAGCAAAAAGGCGCGCTGGAAGCGATGACAGTCTGCGCATCAGCGCTGTCAGATATACGAATATAAATTTCCCGGGAAGCTTTGTGAAAGTTTCATAAAAAGTGCAAATTTTCAGTATCATCCAAGAGAAGCATGCAGTTTTCCCCAAAGCTTACAGTTCATGAAATATACATATATAATTTTTATATAATGCATATAAAAGGCAAAGGACGTTTATGATCCTTTTGATGGTCTTTTTCACCGGTAATTTAAATATATGAAATATAAAAATGATTTTCTCAATTCATTAATATCGATAATATTCTTTGTCTCACAATATTCTTTGTCTATCGTAAAATAGTTCGTTGTTATTGAAGATGATTCCGAAATACGACTTACTTTTAGCAGCAATAAAATAAACAAGTTGTCAAAGGCGTGTAAGTACATTACTATATAAATTCACATCTCTCGTGAACGTCAGATTTTCATTTCGTTCCGTTTTTTGGGATTGCAGCTATGAGCATATATTCAACGTGATAAATTACATCATTTATCATACTTAACAAAGTGACGCTCTGGACGAGACAAGAAAAACGTGAATATGCGACAACAGATAAATGGGATGAAATTTCGTGAGTTTTTTTCGACTTTCGTGAAATTTTCGGACTCGATCTGAACGGGGCGTGTGAAACGACCGGAATACGTTGCATAATGGAATGTTTTATATCCCATATCTCATTGAACAGCGTGGAACGAACTATATATTAACGAAGCTTAATATGACAGCGTGTCGCTCTTGCCTTTTTCTTATTTCCGTCTGCGTTTTATTCAGCGCGACAGTTGAACGAGCCGGCGAATCTCTCCGCTATTATACGGATCGCGAATAATGAATTCTTACGCTCCAGAATCGGTTCTTTGAAATTCTACTGTTCCAGCCAAGTTGCGCAGGAATCTATAATAATATATAATCCGCGAGAGACGAGGGAAGTATTTTTTAACGCCCCGCGAAAAGCGAGACGTACAAAGAGCGAGAATTATGTGCATGCGCGATCTAGATTTGACTTTTCCCGGTCGTTTCTACGGAAAGTTGACACAGAGTCTTTCAACCGCGCGTAAATGCCTGTCAAACAAGGAAAAGTTTCGTGAATTAATTACACTTTGCTCGCATAACCGCGTCAAGTTTGTCTGACATTTAGATTATGCATTTCTCATATTTGTCGAGAAGCATTTCGAGCGAGAACGACTTCGCGCAAGCAAATTTCGAATAATGGAGCTATTAAGCTTAAAGACCTCTTCGCACCCATGCAATTTCCGGCGCAGCGTATGGTTGTACCATACATATTATTACAATACTAATTTAAAATTACATAACCATGTGTTCTCTTACTTGTGGCATTATGAGATAAAACGTATTAATTATTACCAGTTTGATACGTACATTGTCTAAAAATATATTTTATAACAAACAACGGTTCTGATTCTGACGCGATAGAAAAGCGAACGGAAGATGATAGCAGCTTAAAAATATAAAAGCTGGTTAAAGAAGAGATTAGACAGTCTTGAGGACTGTCTTCATTTCTTTTAGCTGGCATTAAGCGGTAAGAAAAGACTATTTAAAAGTTCGGATTACCTGATACCACCTCTCGTCGTATCGTAGTTCAAGACTCTATTGCCATGGAGCCACTGGACGACGCTGTACTGCACCTGCATCGCTAGATGACGCACGACACACAATAGTTCGATGGTGCTATCAGCTTCATAATATTTGTCCCGCAGTGGTTCGCCCAGGGCGTCCACTATTTGGACGGACGGCGCTGAAAAATTCAAAAAGTCAAATTTATTAGCAAAAGTCAGATTTATTTGTCCGAAAGAATAATTCTCATTTGAAATATAATAATAGCTTCTACCATCTGGAAAGAGAGCGAAATTAATACACTCTCCAAGCGCATTGATCACTTCGCGCAGCGAACATTTGACTACGTTATGAAGTCGTAATTTCGGTCAATGAGAAAAGAATTGGGCATGTCGCAGCTAATTCGGAGCTTTCCAGGCGCATCGTCGACTTAAAGTTTCTATCCTCTTACAACAAGTTTTCGAGTCACCATATTAAAGTAAAAATACTTACTACATTTCGTTTAAATATTTAAGTACAACTCACGTGAAAGTTTCGTACATGATACATTTACGTGAAGCATATATCGACGCACTTTTATTGGAAAGTTATCTCTCATTCGAAAAGTCACATTTCAACCCATTAACTTCTGATATCCGATTTTTTTTTCTTCCTTTTCTGTTTCCGATTTATCATTACTCTCTATATTATTTCACTCAGATTATTATACTCGATTCTATTATCGCATAGTTTTCTCAGATTTCAAAGACACCGTCTGTTATTATTTAGTGTCGACGAAAATTAATCGACAAGCGAAGGCAATTAATTTAATATGGAAATTGAAGCTTGTGAGTTACTTTTACGAATATAACACAACTTTTATTCATCATGGCACATTTTTGCCTTAATCATTACTGCAGATAATTGCAATATGATTTCATCTTACTGATGATCACTTAACAGATTCTTATTCTAATACAATCAGCACTATTTGCCGAGTTTGTCGATCTCGCCGTGGCAATTTACACGTCATGACATTCGGCCGAACACACGAGCGTGATATTGGATTACATCGAATTCGGCTTCAAATATTTAACTTTATGGTCCAATAAATATCTCTCATATTGACGTCATTGGGTTGTCCACACGAGAACCAAACGCGATCGAGCAAATCGGTTCATCCACGTATCCTCATCGCCATCTTCCGTTCCGGCTGGACCATTTCAAATTGGTGCCTGTAGATGTAAGCTGTATCGTGGCCACGGAAGCTAAGTAATGTACGGCAACCGAAAGAAATCACGAAAAAGGAAAACGTTTCGCAGATAGATCAGGGTGTTCTCTCGTCGACCTGGTACTCGACCTCATGAATACCGCGCGAAATGTAATCTCTCTCGTGCCCTTCTCTCTCTCTCTCTTGCTCGCTCGCTCGCTCGGTTTCCTTTTTTCTTTTTACGCGTTCCCCATCTGAGGTATGCCGCATTTTATTTCGCATGCTTTTTCGCAACACGATATAAAATTTTTCCTATCCCACCACCGTGTCCGTGTCCGGAAATGTTTTCCGCTTATTTTTCCTTTTCTTTCTTCCTTACCTGATAATTTCACGTTAACGCTTGCAAATTTCGAGGTACTGTACGTTTTCGCAGTTAATACAACTCCGAGCAGCTACTAGAACAGCACTTTTTTAACACTTTGTAGGAATACTCTATGTATAACATTATAGGAGACGAACATTTAAACACAAATTAGATAAATAAAATTTATAGGCAAATAAAATTATTCTTAGTAGGACGCTAAAATGTTCGTTCGTATCTCACTTTCAGCGTAAAATGCGGTGATAGAACTTTAGCAAAGAACAAAGAACTTGAAACTTTCCTATTGTTACATTTGAATTTAAGACACATTTATTCTGCTCTTTTCAATGCTTCAACCAATGTAAAGTTAACCCCGCGATATTAAACAAAATAATTAAGTTATAAATAAATGCAGGTCAATTTATTTTGTCATAGCGGGGGGGGGGAGGCAATGTAAAATTGGTTCCCCTAAGTTCTTTTGTTAATAATTTTTGTTACTAAAAGTGTGTAAAAATTCGAAACATGCGTACATATGCAAGCGATGAGCGATCGAGTTAGAGAAAGTTATTTTTATTTTAACATTGGAAAGCTAATTTCACACTGGCAATGCTTCAAAAGGCAAAAGGCAAATTAGAGATTGCATCTCATTCTTGAAGCTCTTGTGCGCCCTTTTGTTAACATCGTAACATCTTCTTTTATTAACATCGTAAAAAGAACACGCGTCGGCTAAATTGGTAGCGATGGAAGCAGAGAAAGAGAGATCGACGGCAGGCGTATAGGAAGACGAACGGCAGATAGAGGTCGAGGAAGTAGTACTGCATACCAAAGTCTCGACTACTTTATCTTGCGGAATCTCAGCCTCCTCACGGATTAAGTGTTGATCCTTCCTTTTACGTGCGCCCGTTACAGCACAGCAACGATCCTAGCGTTCCTCAAATATGATCCAGCGGTAATGTTCAGGACTGAGATTACTTGTTTTACATTTTTCTTTGTGAGGCGAGTCGCGATCACTCGCCACTGATTCTATCTCGGATACAATAAAATCATTCTTATGTAAAATTATACCGACGGCAGTAGAATTAAATTTATAGTATTTGCATATCGTATCATATTAATTGTAAATAATTATGAGCTTGTAATAAACAATAATAATAATAAATGTACGTTCAAAAGTTCGATTAAATTACATTGTTCGAATATATCTATCCACATCCAGAGAAATCCACTCTGTTCAAAAAGCAGGTCTGATAATCGATTGGAACGCGCGACAATAGTCGGATAGGGTGCATTCATATCTCTTGCGTTAATTATCGGCGTTAATTACCGCGCAAGATCCATCGATAAAACCCGACTGCAAGATTCGCACAATGGTCAATTGTATTTACCGTAATTTGACTTTCAGAGCTGAACAGATACAGAAAGAGAATAGGTTGCCGGGGCCAATGAGAATATGCGATTCGACGATATATCGTTCTTTCAACGGCATTTGACGGTTTTGGACCGCGTTACAAACGATCCCATGAAAGCTCGTACACAAAGGTATCAACAGGGTAAAACGATTAAATTTTAATTGTACGAATATCGAGTGATATCTCGACAGTAGGCAGCGCGAAATCAATGGATAATATCACCGTGTGCGCCTACACTCTCGAAATGGAAGAATAAGATATTAATTATTCGCAAAAATCTATTTTAAATACACGTAACAGTCCTTTAAGGCGATCGACGAACGTTGCGCACACCGCAGGAATTATTTTGACAAATTACGGGAATGGAGGAATGCTACGAGGATAAGTGCGAGGGACTTTAAGTAGATAATCCCTTTGAACTCGCGTTAGGAGATTCCCGACTATAACGCGAAGAAGCTACCGCCGTCTTATCCCGTAGAAGCGAAAGCTTACGATATAATCTTACATCGGCAAAGGCGCGCGGCGCGAACCGGGAAATAAGTAAAAGAGAAGACTCTTGCCTTTTTATTCGTGACCCTGCCATTCTATACGATTTAACGAAGGTTACATCAGTACGACGTCGCGTCTTTACTTAGAGATTTACTAGAAATTTTTTAGCCCCTCTCTCTCTCTCTCTCTCTCTCTGTGCCGTACTTACTAGTTTTGAATTTGAAACATATTTTCTTTGATTATAAAAGATGTGAAATAATCACGGTGTTACTTTGACGTTACTTTGCATCGTACAGATTGGTGCAGGAATATTTTGTATTTCCTCGAGCTACGATTTCGCGCGCGGCGCGAACCGGGAAATAAGTAAGAGAGAAAACTCTTTTTATTCGTGACCCTGCCATTCTATACGATTTAACGAAGGTTACATCAGTACGACGTCGCGTCTTTACTTAGAGATTTACTAGAAATTTTTTAGCCCCTCTCTCTCTCCCTCTCTGCGCCGTACTTACTAGTTTTGAATTTGAAACATATTTTCTTTGATTATAAAAGATGTGAAATAATCACGGTGTTACTTTGACGTTGCATCGTACAGATTGGTGGCAGGAATATTTTGTATTTCCTCGAGCTACGATTTCGCGACGTTTTAATAAACGTCCTCGTCGTCTGCCTTTATTCTTATTTCATGATGCCGGCCGTTGTGTTTTAACAGTACGCCTTTGTTGTTATTGCACCGTTAGCCTTTAAAATTACGCAGTTTTTCCTCTCACATTTATTAGAAATCTCCCCGCCGTTTACAATTTTCCATTCCTCGCTCTAGCTCTCCGAAGCTGCCACTTCTATATACTCTCATTTCGCCGAATTGCTCGACACACCTCGATTACCGGACTACAACGAGATGAAGTTCTTCCGCTTTGCACGGCGCCGTCCTTCCGAACTGAACGGACCGTGGATTTTCTCTCTCCTCTATCCCCCGTCCGTCTCAACTACAAGGCACTTCGTTTTCAATTATCCTTTTAAGCGATCTCCACCGCAAGAACATTGCAGACGGAGGCAATTTGTCCGATCGCTAGCAGAATTGCGGAATTTGAGTTTCTCTTCTTCTCGTCTACTCTCTGTCGTTAGAATATTGAATCGTAAGGTATTACCGGGAGATATATCGCGTCCGTCTTTCTTCGCTCTTTTACTAAATTCAAATGAGCGCGAATGTGGCATTGAAGAAACGTACGATTTAAGGAAAGCCCTCTGGCTTTTCAGTGTAATCAGTGCCGTTTTAATTCTCGCTTATATCACCATCTATCACTTATTTTCAAAGAATCTAAACGCAATTTTATTCCATTATTCTTGTTTTAAAATATATACTTAGTTTTCTACGTTTCGCCAAGTCTTTCGTTTGAGAGGCAAAGTAAAAACTTGAATTACAATTATCTCAACTATTTAAAATCTCTTTTACATCCTCCCTCTGTTCGTCGCAATGCTACATTAAATTCGTCTCAGACACGACGGGGTTGGAGCAAAAAGGTGTTAAACGAAAGAAAGAGTCATGTAAGCTTGAGAGAGAGTAAATAGTGGAGAAGTTTTCGTACTTTGCTCCGCTTCTTTTAAGAGGATAAAACAAATTGCGTCAAATTGCTCAAAAAGAGTTCATTCAGAAAAATCCACAAATGACATTTTCTACAAGGAATTTAAATCCGGGGTGCGTAAAGAGAGAATAAAATTTACTCAAAGCGAGCATGTGAACTAGAAACGTGCGGAGAAACCTTTGTTTTCCGAAGTTACACGGTTCGGTAAGACGTCACTGTCGTTACCAACATTGTTGTCGCGACGTTGATGTCAAGCAGTGACCGTTAATGCACGTTATCACTTACCATTAATGTGTAGGTTGACATAAATGAACTTTGGTGGATGGGTGCTGATCTGACACTCGTATTGACCCTCGTCGCTGCTGTTAACACGTTTGATACGCAGACGCCAGTTGTCCGGGTACTGAAATTCGATGGTGTATCTCGAATCGCCCGTGTACGTCTGCTGGCCCACTGTCAGTAATCTCATCTTCTCGCTACTCTCCTGTCGTCGCAGCCAGGATACCTGAGCATACGAAATCATCTTCCTGAAGAGCGTTGCATGCCAAACTTTTTTATTTAACAAAAAATCACCACAGTTGGCTCGTTTTCATTATCTTTACATCGTTCGTGATGCTGATGTTTCGTACAAATATGACGCAGCTGTATTTGTGGCCACCAAAGACAGACTTGGATATTTTTTGACCCAAATGTCTAGCCGCCAGTCAACACCAAGGACCGCGCGTAAAAATATCAACAGGTGTATAGACAATCGTCCGTGTACGGATTTTTCCGATTGTATCGACAATTCTCATGTGTACGCGTTTTATATGCGAGCATGTTTGCACCGTACTGCTTCCTTTTCTGTAAAAATATTCTTCTAGCGATATATGTTTTATTTTCACAACACCGGCTAATGTTCTTACTGCGAAGTTACAGTAATAAAAAAAACATTTAATAGAATCTCATCAATTATCTAGCTAATTAACTGAAAATAAAAACCATTTTTTCAGATCTGCATCAGATAGATAATCCCTTGTGTAACAACCAAGAGCAAATAGAACAATACATAAAGCAAATATTTTTCCAATATTTCTTTCCAGTTTGCTTCTTTTTCTTATCATAAAGAACAACGCGAGATTTCTAACTAGATTGGATTATCTGTATGATGTAAACTTATAGTAAATGACAATTAATTGAGATTTATAGAAGTGTATGTCAAGATCAGATTAAGACATAGCGAATATGAAGTAGAGAATGCAGTTTACCCAAGTAAACTGAATAGCGTGTTACCGAAGCCCCATTAAATGCATGTAATATCATACATCTTCTATATGGATCTATGGGAGCTAATCGGGTATTATCGGCGCTTGGGAGATATGTGCACATTTACTGTCCGATATTGTATGTAAAGATATAAATTACCGTTGATTTTTAACACTTTCGCTTTTCTTGAAAATGTATTACTTCATTTTATTCAAAAGTGTAAGGAAGATAACTAAAAATATATTAATGTATCCCTCATTTTGGTAAATATATAATATAAAAGTATTTGTACCAAAACTGTATATCTAGATCCAAAGGGAAAACCGCTGACCAAAATCTTGTACACCAATGCCCACTGGGCATTACTTTATCTTATTATCTTATTTTATCTTTATAATGCCCCAGCAAGGCCTAATGCCCAAAAATTTCTAGTAATGCCCAGTAATGCCCAGTAATGCTGCAAATCTATACACCACAATGCCCTCAGCGGTTTCCCCTTCGTCTAGATCGTTTAATGTTAAATCTATTCTATTTATCCAGCAAAACATTAAGGAATTAAGAATAAGAAGAATTGTCTACTTCTTAAAAAATTATTTCGATTAAGTTGTGGATTTTTACACTTTCTTAGTCGAAATCTTATGCTGTTAATATATAAGAAAATAATTTAAGAATTTTAATAAGTATTTAAACGAGAGAGAGACCTTATACTGGCAATTCTTTTTTATTAAATAGAAAAAACAACGTTTCGGCCAGTAATACTGGTCCTCTTCAGAAAATAATTTATTCAATAAAAATTACTAAATTATTTCCATAAAAAGTTCGATGAAAAATTTTTGCGTATGAAAACAAATATTTAAATATGTAATTTGCAAATTTACGCTATTGGTTAGCTATATTATAAATTGCTGCTATGTAACAGGATATTATCTGTTCAAGCGCCAGAGAGATTCATGCGCGCACAACCGATATCTGACCGCATAATTTGTTCTATAGTTTGGGGCGTGGATAATGCGGATACGGTTTGTAACTGCATTAAAGCAATAAATGCAATCTAAATGAACATAGTAGTGGAACTTGGGGATAAAGTCAACGTAGCTTTGTACGCGAGGTAACACTGCAATACATCAAATGTCGTTGCTCTTTATTGTACATGTTAAATTCTTTTACTTAAAAAAATTTTAATAAAAAATACGCGCGTTTATCTTTAATATAAGATACGAAGATTAAGTCATGTCGAGTAAGCAATCGTCAAAATGGAGAAACAGTTATATAAAGTTTACCAAACACTTTACTACTGAATTATTGTGTGCAGATTAGATGTGCGAATAGCTGAGTCGCCCCAGTAGCGATTACTTGAATTTCTCCTTAATTCCGTTCCTTGGAATTTAAAATGTACAAACGCACTCGCGCGTCGCAGCAGATTAATCATAATAAGCTAAACGTAGCTTACCCGGGGTGTAATAAGGCAAAATATTCTGAGATTAGTCGTGAATTATTGCGCCGTGCATTTGTAGCAGTGATTAAAAGCTGCGGGCGACCAGATACGAGGCACGAAGGGTAGGAGTGAACAGAATGACTGAGTGTGCGTTTTCATGCTTACGGTTTTGTCCTGCAGCAACGATATCCTACAATCAAGCGTGACACTAGCACCAGCCTGCACCGTAATGTTGGAGCTCACGCCTTCGAAGTGAGGGCCCCATTTGTGATCGTGATGATGCTGATGCTTGTTCAGAGTGCTGTGCGTGTCAAAGATGTAGTTCAGCATTGGTGCATCCGTCGGCACAGATCGCTTCGCCGCCGTCGTCGATTTCGTCGAAATCGAATCCGTCACCAGAGGCAGTTCTGTAAAAATGTGCGAAAAAAATATATATTATTAACAAGGGAACACAACGCTTCACAGTGAAAAATTATTTAATGAAAAATTGTATCTCGAAATTTGGGGAAATTAATACGAAGCAGCCGGCAGTGTTTCACTTCGTTTAGACAGTTTTCGCTGTTTGTTATGTATGAATATACGAGAGCATAAATTAACGAAAATCTGTATTTCATATTATAATAAATACGAAACAAGTGTTGCACATATTGTATCATTTAGCATTTCGAGAGAGCAGCGACGCATATATTAAACACACACGGCGTGTCATCATTCGAATTGTCATGATTGTTTACGGCATCATGCGCCACATTTACATACACGTATTTTCATATTATGTACACTCTGGCGAGTCTCTCCCCGCTTTTTGTATTCAACCCGTCATACCCGATCGTAACTCGTGACTTTATTTAATCGATTCGCTGGCATTCTCCCGTTATGGGCCATCGCTCAGGTTATCGACATTCAGCCAACCTGCCAATAACGGCCAATATTCGACGTAAATATGCATTTACGCCCGCAACAGGCGCAGTCGGGATACACGACATCCTCGAACTGGTATTACCGGCTACTTACGATAATCATATGTCCCGTATTTTTCAATATATTGCCGAATAGAACGTACGCTCCGTTATTCTGTTCCACATTGGAACAATCGTGAATAGACAAAGAAATAATAGATACCTTTCAGAAGATTGTGATAATTTTCTTCTTTTTATCCAAATTAATATTGATATTGTTACAGAGCAATATAAAATGCGGAACTTTATTACATCTTTTGTGTAAGAATATTTATATCCTAAAAATATATTTGCAAACTTTTAATTTGATTAATCATTGAATTGTTTCTTAATGGAAAATAAAATCAATTCTCTCGTCGTCTCTTCTTTATATTATAATAGTTGGGAAAGCAATTCTCATAATTGTAAACTCCTCAAGAATTGCTTAAGAACACGCCAATTTTGATTCTCCCGTTTCTGTTACAACGACATAACGGATACTGATCCAACTTAACCAACAGCATTCCGTTTATGGTTACAGTCCTTCGTGCTTTGTACTCTCTTTCAACTTTGATAATGATAATTTCTATAGGTGCACTTCATGCTACCGACAAAGTTCGCGGTACAATCCGACAATGTCGGATGCGTTGAATATCTTCATGGATATTCGTCGCAAGGCGGAAAGAGAAAAGGCGGGCGAGAGAATGGGAAAGCTGAGAATGAAAGGGAACGAAGAATCTCGCGCGGCGCGCACGGTGATGAAGAAAGTCACGTTGCTCGTGTTCCGAGGATCACCAAGTTAGATACTAACTCGTGATGACAAATTTTTCTGAGTTTATACCGTGGGAGAAGCACCTCCGCAATGTTCAGACACGTGATGTTCAGAGTTAAAGAAAGAAAAGGAGAAGATACTCTCCACTAAAAAGTTGCGGTGCAAGTTTTACTTCGCGGGTTGCCTTATCGGTTATTTCGTGCCGCATTGTTTCTCCTTACACGCGCTTTCTAGAAATTATTACAACCTTACTTCTCTTGATATACAATAAATAAAGATTTGTAAATCTGTCTTTCAACAAACAGGGCACGCGATTGAAAAACTCTTTAATGCATTGAAAACCGTTGAAAACTACTTAACGCGCATTTTTAGCTCCAAGGTATGTACGGGTACGGACATTTCAAAAGTCATTCAAATTTCCGTAACGCTGTAAATATAAGAAATTCGCGTGGGGGGTATATCGAAAAATTTGACGTACCGAGTACAGACTTCTCTTTCATAAGTCCCGTCACGTAACGCCAACAGAAGTTCCATTTGAGAGCGCCGCGGACGTAAAGCCCGTTGCAGTCGATTGTTCTACGACCGAAGACGAATTGGAGCACTTGTGCAGGTAATCCTGACTTTCATCGAGTCAGCGATAGGTGAGCACGGGAGTTCCCCGGACCTCCAGCAATTCCGGCAATCTTCGGGAGATCCCGACACAGAATTCACGGGGTTGCGACAGAGGAAAGAAAGGAATATACGAGCGCACAATCCCACGACGAAGTCGCATGTCAAAAGGGATCAGTATGCCGCGGAGCGCGAAATTTTCTTTTCCGCGTGCGACTCTGCGCCGTCATCTCGTGTCTCTGAAGCTTCCTTATTCCTTTCTCTTCTCCTCGCACATCTCGGTCTCTTCGCCGTGCGCCATCGGTTGCCTCTTCCTTCCTGCTTGCGCCGACGCGTCAATTCCGTTCTCTCAATCGCGGAAATTTTTCCTTCGCCCGAGGGAAGAAAAACTGATCGGGAATTCCGGTGGAACTGTTGGAAGCGTGTCTCGGATACCGAGAAGAATCTATCTAGTCAGCCGGTCGTCGGCTCGTCACTCTCTCTTTTTCTCTCTCTCTCTCTCTTTCCCTGATATGAAAATCGTTATGTCGTATTGACATTAATATCACCCGTTGAAGCTCTGCTTTGATATGTCGCGTTGTTAAAGGAACGAATTCAGAAATATGCGGCTTGTGTAATTTTTCGTTCACGCAGACTCGATCGAACTGATGAGATTCAAAACGCAAACAAGATCATGGAAAACGATTCAGATTTCAGATCTTTAAATATTTCGATAAGAGATCATAATTATCTAGTCGTTAATTTGGTTGTATATTAAATAATCTTTAATAGATATTCTTATAAACTGTACGATGTGCGAACAATCATTAGATATAATTTCTAGCGATGTTTGTAGTATCACGAAGGAGATAATTAAATGCGAAAAATCATATTTTTTAACTTGTAACTGGCATGTATTGTATTTTGCGGGAGCAAATATATTTTTAATAAAAATATATTAGAATCATATGTTAGAGGCATCTAAAATGAAAGATATGTAATAAAAATGTATTAATTGTTATAAATGTTTAAGACATTAGAATTTAGCGATATTGTGATAGAGAGGTAAGTTTGATAGTACGTGTTACATAACAATACATGCAGTAAACCAGTCTCCGAAAACTTTCCGCAGAGAAGGATTGAAATTGAAATAGAATGATCCATGTACAAACAATATTCGAACAGCTGACAAGCAAACAGAAATGGCGAAGCGTCATTAATTCCCGACCACTCACGCGAAATACGACGTAATTCAACTTTCGAAGTCCGGCATTCGGGTACTAAGCTGAAGAGAGATGGCCGTGTCGGTATGTCGCTGGTACCAGCTGATTGCAACCATTTGTTGGCAAGATACACATTCTGAAATCACGCCGATATACCAGACTGTACCGCGTAACTAATTACACGAGTTTATTTCGTCAGATGCTAGCGAAATCTTGAGTCAGTAGCGCGAAGATCCGGTACGCGTGGGAGAAATATTATAAGTTGTGTGTCAATAAAATATATTCTTCAAACGCAAATATACGGCAGAATCACATCGTCGGTCTAATTACAAAACTCTCCAACTCCAATTTTTTACAAAATTAAGATATTTATTTCGGCCAACTTATAATATCTTACGATTTTGTACCGTTTAGAAAAATTGTTAAACAATAAGTTTTCCTTAAAAAGAATTAAAAATCTTGAAAATCAAATCTAACCTCCTACTGATTCTCCCGCCTCCTAATTCCGGTTATCCGAAGTTACGTGATTGTGTGAGTTAAGAGGTTTTCTAATTAGGCCGATGATATGTAAAATTCAAAGTACTAACTTTGCTTTGCTATAATCATTACAATACATATATAATTATTCTTATATAATCACGCAAAAGTTAATGTGTGATGTAAATCAATACGAATGCTCCCCCTAAAAAACATAAAAATTTCATTTTTAAATTTCAGGATTTCCAGAATAGATAAGACATCACGAAATTAACTTTATGGTCGCCTTTATAATCGTTAATTGATGTTTTAAACGGTATTTGAATAGTAGACAGAAGTATGGATATTTTTAAAATCGATTACAATAGTAGGGAAATAGTATTTGTCTTGTTAAGAAGAGAATTTTTTCTTCACTTTAATCTGATATTTTCAATGTTTTTTCATACTAAAATACATAACTCTAATACATAACGCCAAAAACGTGTGCGTACGTATCATGCATTTCGCATATCGTGCAAATGAGCAGAGGACCCTGCGGTTGCGGCAAACGTTGATCTATTCCACTTGGGAAATGCGCGCGTCGTGTATTCTACGCTCTATCTCTTGTTCTTTGGGTTTAGTTCGAAAATGTCGCCCTAGAACAGCGGTTTTCAACCTTTTTATGATTGTCTTTCAATGTCTGGTTCCATTTTCATACTCGAGGATGCAGAAAGAGAAAGAGAAAAAGAGAGAGAGAGAGAGGAGAAAGAGAACAAAAGACGCGCGTTGTGAATGCACGGTACAATCGCATGGTTCAAACCACAATAAATAATTCTGATTCGTAACACAGTCTATTGGACCTCTCATGTTTTATGCATGCTTCACCGTGCAACACCACGTGTTACACATCGTCGTAGGCTTACGATGCAGTTTAGGGATCCGTAGATCTCACCCATTGTTTTTCTTTTTCTAGTTTTTTCAGTATATTCACTTTGTCAATACACGAGTATGTTGAGTTTCTGTCATAGCTACCTTTTTTTCATTTAATATAATAAATGTAAAAATTTATCATAGATATTTTGGTTTACGTCAAATATTTTCAAGAACTGTATTTATAATATTCATGAAATATATTAATAAAACAGAGGATATCTTGATATCTTGCAATTATTTGTACCATTTTAGTTCCTTTCTTGTTCAGTTAAACCAGATTAAAAAATTATTATTTTTATAAAGAATAATCTTCTATTTTATAAACTAACGTAGCATATTCTTTTTTGCTACATAATCATAAATAATCATATAATCTGAAATGTTTATTACATTCCATATACTTTTCGCTAACGCCTTATAAATTCGACGTTATAAAACGTTCGCTTCGCGAGCCTTCTTCTACATTCGATTTACGATATTCGTGTTCGCAAATATAGAAAACATATTGTACGCATTACGCCTTGTACTTTGGATAGCCCCGCGAAACCGATTCGTAGAACCGGCCGATTTATGACAAACGTGTTGCAGGTGCAACGCGTTGCAGATACTATAAATTGCGAGAATTGCAGGTATATACGGATGGACTCGCGGCAAACGCTCGGTTGCATGTCCGAGTAGTTCTCTCGTTGCAGGTATTGCATACGTCATGCAGCCACGCACGCAACGAGCACGTGCATTACGCCATGTCAATATGTTCCATACACGTATATGTCGTATTGATTCCAAGTAACATTCAGATTTAGTTTGACCACGTAGTGATTAAACTATGCCGAAAAGAGAAAGGGGGAGGACGAGAGCAAGATGGATAATATTGATTGGACGAGCCGGTATACAGTCGATCATAAGTATTTCACTTATATTATAGCTACATATACGATATTATAAATTTATAAATACAATTATATTTACCCAATCTCGATTGTGTGTTAATTATTTAATCAACATCGTCCCTCTTCACTGGTCGTTTTAATTAATCACAACATGGTGAAACAAACAGGGGAGAGCAAGGGGATGAAGGCAAGGAAAGAGAGACAGAAACAGAGAGAAAGGGGGGAGAGGGGGAGAGAGAGAGAGAGAGAGAGAGAACTGAAAAGGAAAGAGAGAAAGTATACGCGTTTATATGCAAAGTGATCGTGGATGAAAAAGATAGATGGACCGATGGATGCTGCTAGCTACCGTATCATTAACGAATACGTGATCACGTCCTCGGCATGTTCTGTTCGACGTAGACGCATTTAATTTACATGGTGTAGGCAAGGACGTCGGGTAACATTTCGCGATGCCGGCAACGCGCGTTGTGCTGGGCATCGATCTCCCTGGGAATTAATCGTACACGTCGGCGTGCCGATCGCTTTGTCACTTTCATGATTTGCGTACGCGCCCACGTCGCGGTGTACCAAGTAGATTAGAAATTCTGCACGCGTTTCGAACGTCCACGTTGCATCCCATTCTCTTCCCTCTGAGCGACGTGACGCCCCTATGGCGGAGAAACGCGCCGATTGGCGGTATTTCGCTGCAGCGATTCTCTTGCTTGGACAATTTCTCCTCGCGGCCGCCTCACGACGCAAGAAGATCGCGCACTAATGGCAAACTAATTAGTCTCTTGCTAGGGTTTTTTTTAAAACAAAGTTGTACGTGCCGAGATATCAAAGTTTTGGACTACTCGTTACGATTAGTCCAAAACTTAAATTATTCTTGTAATTTTGCAAAGTTGCAGAAGGTATAATAGTGCAAAATAATGTAGTAGAATTAACAAAGACCGATTTAATTGGAAGCCATGTACACGAGATCATGAAGCACACGGTTCATACCTATAATCTTATTATCATTGACGCGGAAAATTCAAATATCGCGTTATATCCGTGATCCAAACCTGTTTGTGATATGTAATAAATTTACTCGCTGCAATTTAGAGTATACTGGGCGTGCTAATATTTCGACATGCCATTACTTCGCTGCGACATTTTCGATAATCCTAAATTCATTGCAAAATAATTGACGGCCGATCCAATAGAATGTAATTTGTATCTCAATTTGGTTATCAATGCAGCGAATAATTGAGATGCATTCGTTATAAAAATAACAATTCGATACCGGGAAGCGTACAACAGTCTTCTTTTTGTTGTCGTCTTAATGGAGTCTCGGTAATTGCGTTCTGCGTTTCTATCCTCACCATCATGCGAACCGACATCGGCACTGTTGCATCTGACAATGCCAAGATGGGCCGCTCAGCTCATTTCCGCCTTACGAGGAACAATAACCGCCTCTATCGAGAGATAACGTGTCTTGAGCAGAAGAGACCGCACTGCCGCGAAATTCTCCAGCACGTCGTTGCATAAACTATTAACGATTATACGTTCCAATCCCGAGAGTGAATCACGTAGTTAATTCGAGGCAGCGAAATAAGAAACGCGCTAAACGAGGCAGACGTGCATGAAAGAAGTAGACGAAGATGAATAGTTCAATTACGATGATTTACTATCACTTAATGACGTGCATCCGCGAGAAATTTAACTTTGTGCTTAGATTTCAGACGTTGCTTTTACAACAAAGCGTGCCGGTTACAATATGTAATTATCTTTTCAATCTCTTTCCTTCTTTTTTTTTGACATAGCGATTTAAGCTTTTGTTATACAAACGGCTTGCTTTTAAGTTCTTATAATCAAATTTTGAATCTTTATTATCGAATCTTATCGAAGGATTATCGCTTTACGAGATACAAACTGAAGTTACTTTTAATCTGTTTAATAAGAAATAGGCGTATGCGCATTGTAATGATTCCTCTGTCAGAGCAAATATTGCATTCAGATGATTTCTGCGTCATTTATCGGTGAGACATTTGACTGGTTCTTCCAATCAGTCGCAATACGAAACGACGCACCACGCGAAACAACATGTCGTATCGCGGTATCACGAGGTAACAAGAGAACACGGTCGAAAGTTATTATCGTCTCTTGGATTTACATTCTGTCGTATCTAGGATTTATCTTCGACCGTAATCTAAATTTCATGGAGATTCATCTCGCGTCTCGCGAGATAGGCTCTTTCGCGGGCGACACGTACATTTCAGATCCTCGTAGATTTCGCATGAGCTCCAATCACCCACGTCACACGCATTCCACTTCAAGGTGTAGAAGAAGCTTAAGAATTTGCCGCACAAAGTGAGATTGCATTATATGCGATTTTGCATTGTAAAATATAATGTATAAACTTTCCGGGATGTAAGTTAATAATTTAACTCTACCGACAGATGAGTCGAGTAATTTCACTTACGAGACACGTAAGCTCCGCTTTAACCCGTGTGTGATTAAAAAGCATCCAATCGTACATAATTCAGACGTTCATAATTCAGACCAGTTGCATTTACTGGCTATTTGGTTATCTGGCTGGCTATTTAGGTGTGATTGCAAGCTATAAATATAATGTCACGCTACTAATACGTATGGAGCGAGCATTCCCCAGCGTCATTAAAGTCATGAAGTTATGGGATCCGACTAAGCATCGTTCCCCCGACGATGGACGTTAGTCGGATATTTGACGCATTCGATACGAGTCTCGGTAACCATTCGCAACGTACGACAATGATTTACCGCGTGCCGTGAGGTCTTGGAGGAATGTCCATTGTGGAAGGCTCTTTGCGACGCGACGCGGGGCTACTGCTGTTTCCATCGAGTGGTATTGGGACAAAAGAAGGCACGGCGGATATCGTTTTATTTTCGAATAGAGTTTAGATTATAGTAGATGACGGAATGGGCATATCAGGATAAAAAGCTTCGGGGTTGGAAAAATGCGTTATGATTTACGAGGCACTTTCTCGTGTAAATGTTATTTTTGACGAAAGCAATAGTTTCTATTTGTATATTCTTTAATAACGATATGCTATATTTGCCTTAAAATGCTCTCTTAGATCAAAGTAAGCAATTATACACTGTTAAATTTGACTGAGTGAGTAGTCGCCACTGCTCCTATTCAATGTGTTGTTACTTTTCATTATCATGTGTAGTAAAATTTATTATTTTAACACAAATTGTAGTTAAATTTTACACGGTTTCTTTTAACTTCGTTGTTCAATTAAATGCACGACATATAAAGCAGATAAAAAGTAGCTTCTTTTATATATGTATAAGACAATATAGGCTTCGAATTTTGATCTCAAATTCGAGATAGGACCTGATTTCTCGTTTATATATTATACTATAGTTATCTTCGGTGAAAAATTTCAATCGATACGTGTTATCATCATTTAATTGTATTATCAATTTATAGCACTTTTACGTCATTTTATACTCGACCAGTAGTGTCACACGAGAACAGCTGGTCGTTGTCGCCACCTTTCATACTAAATGTCGGACGACCGATCTGAAATTCTCGATACGATCTTTATGGCAGTCGACATTGTGTTGCCATAACTCACTCCACGTCGCTATGTTACGAGCAGGCCGAGTATCGGGGATTCGCGTTGTTAATACTTGGACATGTGCCATCGCAATACACGCGGTACAAGTCATAAATACTATTCGGGTTGTGATCTGTAAATCGATCCTGTTGCGACGATAATTTCGGAATTAGCCACGCGCATTTATTCCACGTCTATTCGCGATCCTTTCGTGCTTGTGTTCTCGACTGCTTCGCCGTCTCGTCACGCGCGTGTAATGAAAATTCGCAACGGCAGCGCTCATTTCTCTTCCCACGGCACTCACCTGTCTGCGCACCGGATGCCGAGAGGTGAGCCAAGCGATAGATCGTCAGGAGCCGAAGAAGCCACATGACACTACACATGACTGGCACGGCGCGCGGCCCCTCGCTGCCTTATCTATTCCCGCTACTGCGGCCTGTGCACCACGGCCTCGGCATCGCCATCATCTGTAACACAGGTGCGGAAATTGTGAGTAAGTAGTCGAGTTCGTTTACGGCCCGGCTTATCTCCCGACCCCACTCGACTCCGCCAATTCATCGTGTTAAGTAATCCGTGAATCGGAAATCCCGGCGCAGCGCTGTTTCATGCCAGTGTAAGGAGATTTTCGTAGGATGACTTTATCGCAGTGTCGAGTCCTGGCGTTAAGTCATCTGGAAAATCGTCGGAAAAAACATTTCCAGCGCCAACGACAGTTTCGTACACGGACAATTTGGTGCGCACGATAATAAGTGATTCACGCCGAGCTATTTATCGGTTATTTTTGCCCAACAACACGTGAGCATGTATGTGACACATCTCCGTTTACGAGAGATTATAAATACTAATAATGGTAGAGTCATTAATAAAGCGGTTAGCGTTATGCAATTAGACGCCGGACAAGTGGAAGGTGACGTGCGTAAAAATGAAGAATTCTCGGTGTCGCGAGGCAAAAGTCTCACGTAGAATGTGAGGTCAGGACGCGGGATGTTTCCGCGCGTCGGGAAATAACAACGAGGTAAAGGAGGAGGATGCGCGGCGCATCGTTGCCATAACGTAATTAACTCGTTTTATACTGGCGCTCGTAAGTCGGCCGACTGCCGCGCTAATATGAAAGTATCGCCGTCTCTACGGGTATTAACTTCTAAACTTTCCCACGGGCAGCGCGTGCGAGGAGTTTAATTAAAGTATGATTAAACAGCGTAGGCGTAATTGAATGAAACAAGTAATTCCTTGCATTCATGCATTTGGTATGAGGTGTTGTATATTGTCGACACGATATTCCGGATCACTTAATCTTTCAGAAATTTCCAACGCTCGCTTCAAAGCTTGAGAGAGCGGTTCTAAAATTTTTACAGTCTCGTAGTCGCTTCTAACGTTTCTTTATATGTAGGTAATTCCGTTAATAAATTAATGTTAATGTTAATAAATTAATCTGCGTGTTTTGATATTTTTTAAAAATTAGATAAAGGAGTAACAGCGAGAAAAATCTCAGATTAGATAATTGGAGCACGACACGTTGAATACAGGTGAAAAATGCGCGATCTCACGTATCATTATCCAATCTCGATTTCGACGATGCAGCGAAATCAAAGGCGACGGCAATTGAGGACACGGAATGGGACGTATCACGTATCGCGTTACGTAGTCCTTTTAATGGCTCGCTCATCCCTGTGTGATGCTTTAACGACCCTTTCGTTAAAGCTCACACTGATGCAACTAGCGGTTAACGATTTCAAGAGATCACCAGCTTCGAAGTCGAGTGCGTCACAAGCTTTCACTCGCTTATCAGGATGCTGTTAAGAGCTATTAGGGGTTATTGCATCTAAAATTATACTAAATCTGCAGCTTCATGTATATTAATCACGTACGTTAAAGTGACATTTTTATCTAGCGAATAAAAACATATTTAAAATATACCGACTTTTGTATACTGTTAAAGATTTATAGTCAATACGTATTGCAGCGTGCTGCTCGCATTTTCACATTTATTTTTCATAGAAAACTCCGAGAGAAGTGACTTCGCGTTACGAGTTTCTGATAGCTAAAATATATCTGCAATTAGAACGATAAATGCTAATGGAAAAGCCACGGAGCTCTTTTCCAAATTACATTAGCATAAAAGACCTGACCGGAAGTCTTGGCACTCTTGGCTCTCACTCCAGGACGCTAAACTTCTCTCGTAACACGGATTCCGGTAACATCGTCGTCGATACGTGCTCGCAATTTGATTTCAGATAAATACCTGAATATCTCTTTAAAAAGAATCGCGACGCAATGTCCAGGTTTACTCACGTTTCGTCACGTTCCGTTACGTTTCGGCAAGAACCGTAGGCAGCAATTCTTACACACCTCTCCGAAATGCTGGTGTAAAATGCGCAAGTCACAATCAGGAATCGATGTCACGTAGGAGAAGCAATTTTATCGAAATATGAGGGAGTTAGGACAAATTAGATTAGACGATATTGCTTCGTGACTCTTATTAGAATGTTACCAGATAACGTATTCCTGCAGAGAAGCTTTCGCAAAACGCCGGGCCTCCAAGAATCGGTGCGCAACGAGGGCGCGAGGAGGCGATATATTGTCCGATTTAAATCTCCCTCGCGGCGATGCACCGTCACGACGCGCTATTAATTCCGAACGATATATTTTGGTACGCGCAAGCACGACAACGGAGAAAAGAGACTGCGCCATCATTGCAATTTATTTATCTTCAACCGATCTACCTCGTCGCCAACCCCCATGGTATATATCTCGTCGTTAGTTTATTTCGTTGAGAATCGTGGCTCGATGCCAAAAATCTTCCGTATATCGTGTCCGCACCACTGCGTTCATTTCGTTTTACGCTCGCCATTGGCTCGGAGTTTCCGATTCTTCCCTTTTCTCGCGTTCTGAATTTAAAAGTTCTCGCAGGTCATAAAATCTCTCCTACACGGAAAGAACATTCTAACATTCGCACTCTGGGAATCTTATTGTGTTAATTTCTGATGCTATACGTTTCAAACTTCTGACTTAACTTGTAACGACAGATATTCTTTAATAGGGAATTAACTTTTCTCTAAGAAAAAAAACTTAAAAGGGAAGACGGCCGTTACCTGTTATCACTTACAATTAGCGTTTTTCGTCCAAATAATTAAATAAAGTAACTTTAGGATAAATGAAATTCACCAATTTAATTAACTTTAGTATTTAACTATTATTAAAACTATTTACTGTTTCTGGAATGTCAATTACTAACAAACTGATTTTAAATAATTGAATAAAAACCTATCTTTAAAATGGGTAATGCCGTGGACATTCTATATTTATCTCGAGAAATTACATAAAATGTATAAAATGTCGAAATAATTTTACGAGTAAAATAAAATTGGATGACATGAGTTTGATGAATTAATAATACGATCGGTATGTATTAATTGTAGATAATTGACGGGATGATATACGTGACAGGTTTCGCGAACATGCCATTTTGTATTTATAACCGTAAATCGATTTATATTCATTTTAATATTTTTTTATATTCAGTCATGTACTGAAGTGAATTCGAATTTGTTTACGCTACTCATATGCGTGCGTCAGTTGCTTCGCATATGTTTCCAACATATTGCAAGTTTATCAGTGAATATTTGACTTTAGCACCCAACTTATTTGCACGTGAATAATACTTCCAAAGGTTTGAGTGATTGAATTATATTTGCATTGGATCGTGTGCAAAATTATTTACCTTCTCATACAATTTCAAGTTAACTTTCTTGCGGAGTTGCTTCGTCTTTAAGAAATACCAGTCTAAGACGAGGTAAACGATTAGGTCTGGTTTCATCAAACGTCGCTTAACTTTAATCTTAGTTTAATTCATGTTTGTCCCTTTCTAGAGTAACAGTTGGAGAGAGACAAAGAATGAATTAAGCTAAGATTAAAGTTTAAGCGACGTTGGTGAAACCGGGCCTAAAAATTCTCGCTAATTGCAATCGTTGCTGCAGACAAAATTAAAGCGACGGCCACACCCGCATGTCGAAATTTTCGTTTGTACATTCCTTTGGCACACGTCGATACTTTGTTACAAAGTTGAAAGCGACGGTACGAAACGCCCCTGGAAATTTTTATGCGCGCGCAAACTTTGCCCGATACTTTCTCGCAGATTTGGCCTTGTTTTTACCCAACAAATTTTCATTTTCTCGCGACCTTTTCGCGCGGAATATGTTTAAATGTGTATCGACATCTCGATTTATTCTTCCTCGTAGCTATTCCGGACGGCACTTCCACTCGCCGCAATGCATGATTTATGCAAATACTTCATCGTACTATACGGACAGGTCGGAATTCCGTGTGGTGATATTATCCGATAATTACATCCCTATTCGAACAGGACAGATTGCTAAGCGTCACATGCAAACTTGTAACGATTTCGGCGAACTGTGCGTGCAGAATGCGCGTCGGCGAAGTTATTGCAATTAAATCGCTTAACCCAGTACAGATTCAATGAAATATAATAATGTGCTCGTAATTGACCAAACCAGGCGAAACGGACTGCAGTGTGCTTACAATTATTCGGGAAGCGCTTTACTATTTTCCATATGGCATAATGAGAGCCAGGGAAAAATTGAAAGGACATCAAATTCAACGTGCTCAAGACACTATAGAAAAACAACCGACTTTTCTTAGAAACTATAATGAAATGCAATGCTATTTGGAAGCATTCTCGATGTAAATTTTCTTGAGTAATTACCAGCGAGAACCGACGGTGTACGCGCAGCAATGTGCAAAGGAGGAACATTCAAGCATCTTAATGGCGCGATGTATTTGTACGCGTTGAGGCGACTAGAGCATGTAATCTCGTTAATCTTTTACTGCCCAAGCGACTTGCGCGACCGCATCTTACGTGCAACTTGTCGTAACGCCACGAATCACTCTATATAGGGTCAAGAGGTGCAAGTAAGTTCGCAGGCGGGGCTGAGATGGTTGTAGGTAAAGTTGGCCAAGTTTAGAGGATAGAGAGGAACACCGTTCATGACTTCACGAGCGATATGAGAAGGACGAAAGACGGAAGAGAGAAAGAGAGAAAGGGAAAGAGAGCGGGAGGGCTGCTGCTTGCACTGCAGCCGTTCTTGGAGCTCGGTTTTAATGAACTTTGCATAATGTTGCGCTGCTTCTGCCAGTCCGTGCGATTCCCATCAGGATGCCAGGAGAACGCCCGGCGGTGCAGAATATTTTTATTCGTCATGATAAAATACCTTTCAGCCGTATTCGCGTGAAAGATAGGTGCCGCTCTTACTCCTTTCGAGCATAATGTAGTCTAGTCAGGTCAAATAGCTCGCGCGCCGCCTTGGGTGGACATGTGGAGCTGGTCTTGTAATACGTATGAACGCATATCGCACGTCATATATCGACATGACCACAGAAAATTGCATCGATTCCATGTTCACTTCACCTTGTTTTGCTTTCCCGTATAAATCCATATTGTTGCTAACGG